GAGTGGGGAATGAAGGGAGGGTCAGGAATGAGGGCAGAGGGAGAAATCCTTGACTGATTGATTTCAAAACTGAGTTTGATAAGTTTACAGAAGGGATGGTATGAGGAGACTGCCCACAATGGGCATGTAGCTATATGTAGTAAGAGAAGGGCCAGAAACATAAGCCCATGAATCACAGGCCTGGTGTGAGGCATAGGCCACAATGGTCAAGAGTTGCTAATATAAAGCTAAGCCAAGCTGTGAGCAAGAGGCATGTGCCCTGCTCACAGAATTTGGCATGAACAGGGATAATAGTGTAAAACACTAATTGGAAATAGGCACAGGTGTTAAACAGTACAGGCAGTCCCCGACTTACGCGGATCCGCACTTACGAATGGGGCTTTTCTCGCCCCGGAACTCACGGGCAGCTAGTCGCCACTTCTTCCCGTCTCCCTGGTCTGCTGGGGGTGGGGGGGTCCAGCAAAGCCGCTGGACCCCCCCAGCAGACCAGGGACACCCGAGCAGACCAGGGACATCTTGTATGTAACCCGGGGACTGCCTGTAATTCGTACTAGGTACCAGCTACAAAACAGTAATTGGTACTGGACACAGGTTGAAAGCACATCCAAGAATGAAGTTAACAGCTTGTTAAAAAGGACCTTAATAACCACTCTCTACAGAGAACAGGGACATACTGACCCAGGTTCAGGAAAGGGTCTAAAATGATAGCATGATGAATTGAGATGTTCTAATTGAACCACCAGATGCACGTTGATAGGTGGTATCTAGGTACTGTCAGACGGTAACAACCAGATACATCAGGAGTGATGTGTAACTTGTTTGTACCTATATATAAAGTCGTGACTTGGAAAGGCTGTCTTTTTCTGACCAAGGGGGCAATGGAATCTCCCACTGACTGAGCTAGTCCATTTTCAGGGGATACATACACAGAGTGGTTCAGTAGAGCCTGACAATTATCACTGTCTTATCACTGACAATAAGCCTGGCTGGGCACCTCTAATCCTTATCTGATTTTGTGGTCTTTGGAGACCCTCTGCATCTGCTGTGTTGACTACTTGTCAGAAATCAACACAACACAAGAGGAACAAACAGGCACGCGGCCAAACGGTTATCACTGTATATGGAGCAGGACACCACAGTGACTTATGACAGCAGCTGAAATTTGCTGCAAGCAGTCAGGTAACTTCAATGGCCGGTAATGGGACACTAGATGAAAAAGGCTCAGTTACTACAGAAAATTTTTTCCTAGGTGGGGGAGGGGAAGGAGGTCAGATTTGAGGCCTGTAATGTTCTGGTCAGACTGGAACAGAGTTTCTCAACCTTTTTTTACATAAAGTATCCCTTAAAAAAAATTACCCCCAGTATCTACAGTTCTCACACATTTTTCTATCTTTGCAATACATTTGTTTAAACAACTTAATCGTAGCAAAGCGGGTGGTGAAATTTTTGGGGTGTAAAAAGTACAAAAATAATAAAGCGCTGTAAAACTTACAACAAAAATTCGGTTTTCTCCAAATTTCAGTTGTGTTGACGTACCCCACCCCAGACGTTTCTCGTACCACTGGCTGAGAAACACTGGACTAGAAGATTGGTCATTCTGACCTTACAGTCAATGAGAACAACAAAAATGGATTACAGTCTAGAAAACATGACCTATGTGGGAAGATTGAAAAAGTTGGGTGTGTTTAGTCTGGAAAAGAGAAATGACTGTGAGAGTACATACTTTGCAAGTACTCAAAAGACTGTTACAAAGAGGGAGAAAAAATATTTTCCTTAACCCTGGAGGAAGGACAAGAAACAACAGGCTTAAATTGCAGTAAGACCATTTAGGTTAGACATTAGGAAAAGATTCCTGTCAGATTAGTTGAACGCTGAAATAAATTGCCTAGGGCACCTGTGGAATCTCCATCACTGGAAAGTTAGACAAACATCTGTCAGGGATAGTCTAGATCAGTGGTTCTCAAACTTTTGGGGCTCTGGAGCCCTTTACACGTGTAAAAACTTATGCAGAGCCCCAGCGGTCCACTGATTGTATGTGTTGTACCTATCTAAGTTTCCAGTTTGTCAACCTCACGGAGCCCCTGGAGATGTCTCACGGAGCCCACTTTGAGAAACACTAATCTAGATCAGTGTTTCTCAACCAGTGGTATGAGTACTCTTAGAGATACTGAAGAGAAGTCTGGGGGGTACATCAACTGAAATTTTTGTTTTAAGTTTTACAGCACTTTATTATTTTTCTACTTTTTACACCCAAAAATGTCACTACCTGCCTGGCAACGGTTGAGTTGTTTAAACAAATGTGTTGCAAAGGAATAAAAAGAAATGTTGTGTGTCTGAAAACTAAAAAAAAAAAACAAGCCCTCCAGTACCTAATTATTAAAGGGGGTACTTTTTTTTTATATAAAGGTTGAGAAACACTGGTCTAGATCGGGGCCATATATGCAGCTGTGTGTGTGGGCCGCAGCAATATACTTATTCTTTCCTCACACACCCCTATATGGCAGCAAGGATATCATCGGTCACATCTGTGCACTGACACAGGCCATGAGATGAGAACCCCTGCTCTAGATAATATTTAATTCTACCTTGAGTGCAGAAGATTAGACCAGTACATCAAGAGGTCTTCATTTCAGTCCTATGCTTTTATGATCTGCCTATTAAGCATATTGTTATTTTAAGAAAGCTATGTTTGTTTTAATATATTCTCCAGTAACTTCAATATTTAAAACAGTTCTATTTACATTGGTAAAATTACTTTAGAAAGTATATTTTACTACTTTGCTACTTTACCACTGAACTTTGAATTCTGCTCCCAAAAGATGACTATGAAACTGGTATGTTTTTACTGAATGTATCTGCTCCTCATGTACCAGACTTTCAAAGAGTGACATGCATGCTATTTTAAGAACATGTCATAATATATGTACACCAACAGTGTTCTTGCACAAAAATGCATACCAAAATTTGTCACTAAATAAAAAGATTATCTGGTATATATTTTATATATATATATATATACACACACACACACACACACACACACACACGTTTTCATATGTTTTTAGTTCTCATTGATTAAGGTTGTAGTTTACCATAGTTATGCCAAAGAGCCTTCATTTTTTCCACCTGTTAATATTTCAAGTTGATTAAGACTGAAATATAGGACAAATTCTGCAAATAGTTGTTATAGGTTAAAACTCCACTGAAAATAAGGTTGTCTATGCATAAAGACAGAATTTGGCCTACAGAGCCTTTATTGCTGATACATATCTAAGATTGAATTTTCAGGACTGACAATTTTTAAAAATTCTTACTTCTAACATATTAAATATAGCCTTTCACAAAACAAAAACTGTCTGGTGGAAAAAGTATCCTCTGAAGTGTCATACAGAGTTCTGAAATTACAGCTTTTCTTAATGTACATTAGAAGCTGCAGCGCAATATATTGTATACATATTCATGAATTGTAGAATTATACCCAGGGGGAAAAAAAAATATCATTCAGGTACATTTACAGTTGAAACTACCAAATTCAAGAGCAAATCAAGATAGAGAGAGACAGTTACCTGTTGGTTGTACTCCAGTCGCCTCCTTAGTTTTTCCCTGTCTCTTTATATATTAGGGGAAGAAAAAGTTTAAATCAAAATATAAATCACTGTAAAAAAAATAATCAACTTATTTCTACCTTAAAAAACAAATACAAAACTCCTCACCTTTCAAAGATGAAAAGAATGGACAATGGTTTTCACTAACATGCTGAATTATTGACTATAATGTAACCATGAAAACTATTGAGTTAAAATTAGTATAATCTCAATTACTTCTCAGATTTGACCTCTGAAAATAATCCTTTTTAAGATAACCCTTTCATCAGTACTCAAAACAGACTTCCTGAACTATCAATTAAGGTCCTGTTCATGCTCAAATTACTTGTGTAGGAGAGATGATTATAAAAAACTGCATTTACATAGCCTGCATCACATTGTAGTGTCTCATCTTCCCATTAATTGGGTAGCTCACCCTTCCCCCAACCCCCACTACAATTTTAATACCCGAGCCAATGCCAGTAATTGGTCCAATAATGTTACTCCGAGAACATTTACATGGAAAGCTAAATATGTATTAATTTAGCAAGAAGAAAGAGCATTATGTGATCAGCAGTCAAAACTAAAAATGACACCAGTAGTCCACACAGCAATTTGAGAATGTTATAAATGTCCACTATCTAGAATCTCTACTTTTGGCAAGGACTGACGCAGACAATGTAGTACCATTCCCTTACGCTGGTTTTCAACTTGGTAATATCCCCAAAACATTAGGTAAATTAACACTTGTGTCTGTTTTACTTCTCATATTTCTATTCCCAGGGCTCGACAAATAATGCAATCTACTCGCCCGTGGCGAGTAGACTACAACCTGGAAGAGCCAGGTTCGGGCGATCTTGCCGCGGTTCGGCAAGCCCTGTCTATTCCATAATAGGTACATCTTTTTACACAAAAATGTGGTACTCACTTTTTCTTATATGTTTTCTCATACGTTGGATGTATTAGGTCATCATCTTCAGGCTCTTCTGGTACACTGCAATTCCTGATTAACAGTAGTGAGATAAATGGCACTCAATCCACTGAGATCAGTAAAACATGTAATAGCATCTATTTATCTCCAGATCCCACTTTACCTGAATTGTGGATCAGGATTCAGCGAACAGTACCACTTATCTGGCAAGCGATCTATCCCATCTGGAAGCTTCCGCCATTTCAAACAAGAATCACATTGAACCCATGTCTGATCAGGTCGTTTTCTGTAAAGAAACATCAAAACTTTCATATGAAAATGTCTCCCACCCCCCCATGCATGCTCCTCTGCAATATCAGGTAGGAGTAGAGAAACTGGGATATGCATGTTCTAATAGTAAGACCTTTAGACCTTTACATTATAGCTTCAGAGACATTTTACTTACTGTAGATCCTCTACTGGCAAATCTAGAGGATATTCTTCATTTTTCTTTGCCTTCATTTCATTCCAGTAATCATTAAGTTTTTCTCCCAATGCCGCTATTGTAAGTCTGACAAAGAAATAGTGCTTCATTAGAAACATTTTGTAAAGTATTTATTAGCAAGGAAAACATTTACAAATTGCATAGAAAAGTTAGTTTAATTTTAGCAGAAAATTGTTCAAATAAAAGATTTAATTTTAAACTAAAGCACTGGACTTGTGAAGCTTTGTGTGTCAATAACAGTGATACGTTTCTGGCTTTCATTTGGGCAAATTGCTGGTTCAAGTCTCTTGCAACAGTAATGAAATATGGGTTCCTCAAACCCAATTTACAAATGACTTTCAGAGAAGAAACAAAATGAACATTAAGTAACATGATGGTCTGTGGGAAGAAGGAGTCTGTTTAGGTATGAAGAATCTTGGGTAAACACAGTGGCTGTGAAAGTTTAGTCCAAATCATAATTATAGTCCATAGAAATAGCAGCAGTAGAAAAATTAGGCTTTGGTACAAAAGAATGGAGAAAGATAAGGCAACATAGCTATTAAAAATAATTTAAAGCAATCTATTTGGTGGTCTTGCTAGCACTTATTTGTGAATATTAGTGCTCTTAGTCCTTTTTGTATATTGATTCATTTACATATATAACTATTCTTTAGTATCTTTATGATAAAGTGCGTTTTGGGTTCTAAGGCCCAGAATACTGGTCCTTGACCTATAAGTAACCCTACTCATGAATTTTCTGCATTAGAATGCATCTAAATCTGTTAATTATGTGTCTATGCACTTCCAAATATTCACATTCTCTTGGAATTTACTTTAAAAGTTAATAATGCTTACATAAACATATAAAAATGGATTCATGAGGAGGAAGATTGTTACAGCAGAAGCTTCATATTGTGCAATCAACAGGGAACAATGCTTAACGGGGAAAAAGGATCCACTGGGATCTTTAAGAATGTTGGTCCTCTCAGCTGTAAAATACAGGCAGTCCCCGGGTAACATGGATCCGACTTACATCGGATCCCTACTTACAAATGGGGTGAGGCAACCCTGCACTAGCTGCTTCCCCCCCAGTAGACCAGGGAGACGCGAAGCTAGCGCCCCCACTCCCCAGCAGACCAGGGAGACGCGGAGCGGCTTCTCAGCAGACACTTCAGTTTGAGAATAAAGGACTGAGGGAAGTGAGGTGTGGGAGAATAAAACTGAGCTCTGGAGAAATGTTTGGCTAGAGTTTCCCCTACAATACGTACCAGTTCCAACTTACATACAAATTCAACTTAAGAACAAACCTACAGTCCCTATCTTGTACGTAACCCGGGGACTGCCTGTATTATGTTTTCATGCATAAACTAGGTAAACTAAGAAAATACACATATTAAAGAAAAATCCCATCAAGGTTCTGGGAAGACATTTTTGATAAAGAGGAGTCTGTATCTAAAATCCTATTCAGTAACTGAAGTTATGGAACTCAGGAGGCACAGTTTTATTCTTAAACTAACTACAGTGAAGAGAGACACTGTAGTTCTTTACCTTATGTGTAGGGTGGTCATGTATTTATTCTATTTTGTGTATTGCTGTACTAATCTATGATTAAGTAATTCCAAGTGATCCTGTTATTGGTCAATCATTAAGTTAGACATGCCACAATCCTCAGCAAGATCACAACTGAGAAATTTTGAGATTAGATCTTTAAATTCAAAGTCAGAAAAACAAGAGTAAATGAATGTTTCAAAAATAGTTTGAGACAAAACATGATGGCTACGTCTAGACTGGCATGATTTTCCGCAAACGCTTTTAAGGGAAAAGTTTTCCGTTAAAAGCATTTGCAGAAAAGAGCGTCTAGATTGGCACGGACGCTTTTCCGCAAAAGCACTTTTCGCGATCGGGGCTTTTTTGCGCAAAACAAATCTGAGCTATCTACACTGGCCCTTTTGTGTAAAAGCTTTGCTCAAAAAGGACTTTTGCCCGAACGGGAGCAGCACAGTATTTCCGCAAGAAGCACTGATTTCAGATACAGGCAGTCCCCGACTTACGCGGATCCGACTTATGTTGGATCCGCACTTACGAACGGGGCTTTCTCGCCCCGGAGGTCGAGGTAGCGGATTGCTACC